ACTGATGGAAGCTGGGTCTGGTCCCTGGGAACAGCCAGAGTTATTTCCTCTCTGCAACTCAAGACATCTCAGCTTGAAACTGGTGGTGAGTTCACCACACTGCTGAGCACAACCTCCCCCCCAGAAAGGGAAGGACATTCTTCCTCCTGGCTGTGTGCAGGGCTGGTTTTGTTTTAAAATCTCATGACAATCAACCGTCAACAGCTCAAGGTATTCTGGCACACAGACATCACCACACTGGTCTGGTATATCCTGAATTACTGAACTATAAACCACCTATTTTGGGAGCACATTGTCTAGAGATTCTCATATAAATAAATCAAATAGAAAAACTAAAGCCATCAAAACCTATAGCCCAGTTCCATCAAGTGGAACTGCAGCTCTCCTCTATCCCCAGCCCGGGCCCACACCAGGGCTGCACCCACCACAACGAAGGCAACATGGGCAAAAGAGCTCAGAGGAAACCATGAACACAGACCCACTGCAAGCCAGCTGCATGCCCAAAACCGTGTTCAGCTCAACTCAGCTTCCAGCCTTGCTCTAACTCACTGCTAAAGAAGCAAACAGCCAAACAGCCAACCTTGATACACGTCAGGGTGAGGTCGGAGGAGCAAGAGGCCAGGCTGAGATCAACAGCAAACGTTTAACCAAATTCAATGCAGATACTTCAAAGTGCAGGAACACTATATTTATTAGGTCAATATTTCATTTTAGGAATACAATTACAGAATATCACAATGCTGGTTACAAACATAGTATGGTTTGATGGTTACAAATAATGTCGGGCACTGCAGTCTGTGAGGAGTAGGATACAAATCGTTAGTCCTGGCACGACAAGTAGGGTGGTCTTCAAAGTCTAGTAATGATCAAGATACTCTTATAAATGACCATGGCACTACAGGTAGAGATTTGAGTTTAGAGGTGGGTTTTGTATAAGCAGTTCAGTTTATACAGTTATACAGTTCAAGCAACATTTTTTTTTTTTTTTTAAAATGCTATTAAATTAAAATCCCCTGTAGTTCAATAAAGTATAAAAATAGTACTGAACCTGGTAATATTCAATAAAATGTAGAGTTCATTCACATCGTTAAGTAGTAAAGAAATTGTAAAGTTGTAGTTACCATGGCAACATTGCTTCCCATAAAGGAATATACAGAAAAGAAAGAGTTACACGGATGGTACCTGCGACAATTATTTAGCGATCCAACACTGAACTTGTGCACCACAAACCAAGTCTCTAAATATCTCTATATATTTATATAGTATATATCTTTTTCATCTTAAAATTTACTTTAAAAAAAAAAAAATGTGCACTTCAACAAACTCACTAAGGCCACTCATGCTATAGATACCTAGGATTGCAATGAAAGAGTTAAACAAGACCCTAGAGCACGCACCTCGAGATCACCGAAGGGAAAAACTGTTTCACTGCCCAAAACATTCCTGAGATCGAGGGACAAAAGCGTTACCAGTGCCGTAGCCAATTGTTCTGACAGACTTTAGTTCTAGGTAAAGGAATTTTCTTACCCCACTTCTCTCAGGAATCCTCGCAAGGCCAAGAGACGCAGCGTGCGACAGGCCAGTCGCGTCCCACAGGGAACGCCCACAGGGAACAGGCCCATTTGCCACCAGCATTTGGCAAGTCATTTACTTGGGAGACAAGGAAAAAAAGGGAGCCAAGGACCATGGAGAGCAGAAGGGTTCTGCACGGGCAGATCAGCAACGGCCCGAGAATTCAAACCCAAGGGTGTCAGTTCAGTCAAGCTTTTGTCTACGGCTTCGTTCATGCCTCAGGCACAATGCATTTTCCTTTCTGTGCCCCACCAACACGTAGGACAACAAAAAGGAAAATTAGTTCAATGTGCATTTTTTGTACCATGAGCAGCAGTACAACAGCACCTCTAGAGAACTTCAGACTGCAGCACACTTAAAGAAAAACTTCATTTTTAAAGTTACAAAAGAACATCGTTGTCCTAATAAGTTAGAACTCAACAACAAAAACCCTTCAAAATGATTTAACAAAAACTGTGTGCAGAAAGGAAAAAAGTCCTAGCCAACAGGTATTGATAGAGTCAAGAGTGCACATGAGACCAGGAGCTGGGGCAGTCCAGGACTGGCTGCCACCAACACCACCCCACATGAGTGACCCAGCAGCTGCCTGGGGACAGAGATGTCTGAAGAGAGATATATCCCTCAGCTACTTGAAGTAAAACAGCTCGTGACTTCCTCCAAATTTCCACCTGCCCTTTTGTGGGCTCTGAAAAATGTTTGTTCTTCTCCCCATCCACAAGTCACCCAGAAGAGCCCCAGGAGAGCAGGGGAATCCAGACATCCCCTTCCTCCCCCTCCTGACAAACTGCAGCATTCCTGTAGCACAGGACATAGAAAGTATCAACTCAAACATCGTGCTGTAAACAAAATACTAAGGGTTTGAAACAATAGTTAAATTTCCCTGGAGGTGACACCTGCCACTACTTGCATCCAATTACTCTGGCATGACTAAAATACTTACCTCCAAGAAAAACTCAGTAGATGCATTTTTCACTGGATTTCCACTCACAGGTGTCCCCCTTTAATGCCAGCAGCAATCAGCACCCACCAAGAGGGGGCTGCACTGCACATCTAGAAACTGCCAATAATTGATGAACTTTCTCTCCTGTTTCGTGTCCCCCTTTAATGCCAGCAGCAATCAGCACCCACCGAGAGGGGACTGCGCTGCGTGTCTAGAAACTGCCAATAATTGATGAACTTTCTCTCCTGTTTCACAGTTGGCCACTTGGGTCCCAAGGGATGTGCCCTCCCCCTGTGTGCCCTGGTACTTACATCTGATGCCTATGGAAAACCCATGAAGGGTGGGGGGAACTCCCAGCTCTGCCTCTAAGGGGAGGGAGGTGCAGGGTGGGTGCTGGAGAAGATCAGAGGGGATTACACCTTGGCTCCTCCTGCTCTGCCTGCTGCAGAGTCAGGAAGCATCGATGGGATCTGCAGGTTCTACTGCAACAGCACTGGTACAGAGGGACAAGCCATCCACCTTCCACTGAAGGCACCCAGCTGGACTCCTACTTTCTCAAAAATACCAAACCAACAGAGGCAGCAGTGGTAATTCACAGCTAACATCACTTCAAACCGTCTCCAGACGCCAATACAGGCATCTTCTGGACACTCAGTTTAGGAGACACAGAACCCAGGAGTGTCACTTTGCTGCTGCTGCGTGGAGATGAAGCCCTACACTGCAGCAGGAGAAGGCTCCAGGCACACAGAGCTGCAGTGTTCCACGGGCAGCTGCCAACCTCCTGGGCTTCAACAGGCTCCCCAGGCAGCCACAGCTGCCCCTCCCCAGCCCTCGCGTGCCGTGGCACAGCTGGAGCTCTGCAGATCCTACAATGGGAAGCTCAACACCACAGCATGCTACCCGTACCTACACAGACTGCTGCGACTGCTGTTGGCCAAATCACACTTGTTGGCCACAGGCCGTTATCAAAGAGAATTCTGAGGGACTTTCAGGACCTTAATTCCTTCCAGACAAGCCAATACAGCCAAGTACGTAACAGGCTGGTGACGTCGCTTCAGAAGAGACAAGCACATCCACCCAGCAAGATCTGGGAATAAAGCTACTGATCAAACACATTGAACTTGGTTATCAGACAGAAGCACAACAGCTCCCTGACCCGCCCCGTGTTGGAAGCTCTCCCTGGTGCCCTAACTTGAAGGCAAACCACAAGGAGCACAAACCAGAGCTGCAGCAGCAGCAGCCGTTGGTGCCGACCACTTTCACCAGTACCAGTCAAACAATGCTCCTCATCCCAAACACAAAACCTCAAAGATCTTTCAGATTCCTCAGTGACAAGCAGGAAATGGAGACCCAAGACTGGAAACCCTGAGGAATTAAGTGCTCTCAGACCAGGTAAGTGTAAATCCACGTGGTCAGTGTGAAGCTTTAAACAATCCTGCAGTACAGAAATTACACGGCTCCTTCAGGACAATTTAAAGCACATTCTCCCTCCCCAAGTTCTGACACTACTATTAGATACGTCACATAAAATTAAGTGGTTTTAATAGGACTTAGGAAAAGAATTCATAAGAAAGTTACCAATGCCCTGCTCTATGGGCAGTCAGGGATAAAAATGCTTTGCCTTGTAGATAACAGAACATTTGTAGCACCTAAAGCAGTTATCAACAAAAATTGCTATAAACAAAGTTTTAAATCCACACACAATTTTAAGTTGGATTTTCACTGAACAGCCATTGGGGATATACTGCACACTAAGTCTTAACACCACAGGGTTTTGGTTTTCCTATGCAAATACTTTTCACATCAGTGAAGATATTCCAGGTATGCGATCATTAAATCTGCATTCACTAATTGCCTAACTGCATTTTCAAGTTGGTTTTATTGAGTCTTTCCCCCCCCCAAACATACTTGAAGGCACCAGTATATGAACTATTGGCCTGTAAATTTTCTGTTCTTAGAAGAGCCATTAAGCTCCAAGAGGTGTCTGAAATTCCTATTTCTCCTCTGCACTCTTTCTCGAGGTCCAACAAGCAGCTTTCCCCTGTGCCAAACTCCATGAACAAATTAAAACCCAGACCACAAACTGAACACCCAGGTCCTTCAGGGGCCATGGCCACAGAGCCTCCACTTAGCTGACCTCTCACAGCCAAGCCACAACCCCTGAAAATAGGGGGGGGAAAGGAGAAACCCCAAACCAGACAGGACCCTGACTACAGGAGAGCTGCTCGTGCTGCTGCTACGAGAGAACTGAGGTAAGAGCAGTGAGTTGGTTCTAGTTTGCTGTGTTACACAGACCTTCAAAGAGTATTACCTCAACAGCAAAAAACAACAGCTAAACCAGCATCCAAAGCAAAAAAAAACAACACAACCAAGCAACCCCCCCCCAAAAGAAGAAAAATTAAGACAAGCTAGTGATATAGGCATTATTCAAGCATCTTTGCAGCTGAGTTCTGCTTGCTTTTTAAATTAATATAAAGGAATCAGTTTCTGGTTGTACTATTGTTTAATGTAGAAATGAAGCATCACAAAAAAAAAAAAGAAAAACTGTTGTGCTTTTTGGCATTTTCCACTGACCCCTGCGACTGTACAATAAGTTGTGTTCTCCAGAAACAGAAAATTGACCTGGATTGTAATACAAAACTGTTAACTGGTATAAACAAGTGACTGCCTCAACGATGAGAGTAAGCCCCTTGAGAAGGGAAGAGGTGGCTGCAGCAGAGCTAAGCGTTTGAGTTCCTGCCTGTGGCACTGGCAGGAGTATTGGCCTAAGTTCACTAGGTACAGACATGCCAGCGCAACCGCTACAGGACGTTCACTCCCTAGGTCTGTATCTATTACATGAATATAATTTTGCACTGATCATACACCTAAATGAAATAATCCTACTGTAAAAGTGAATGCAGGGGCAGAAATATTAAATTAAAGCCACTGGTCCAAAAACTGTTTCTAGCAGGCTGGTCCACTTTTGATTTTCCTGGTCCTGTTCAGAAGATTAGCACTCTTGGTTGGTACCAAGGAAAACTAGGATTGCTGGTCTACTGGATCTTCTATCATGCCTAGGTGAACACTGGTCCAGTTCAGGATATTGAAAACATACGGTGGTTACTTCCTCAACAACCTGTCGTGGTTCACAGAAAGGATTTTGCTCTCCAAAGTGGTTCTTTGCCACTCTTCTCCGTAAGGCAGCAGCCCAGGCTGGGGCACTCTCCCTCCTCCTGGTATTTAGGATCAGCTTTGCTACACTGAGGACACACAGCAGTCAGACCCTTCTCAGGTAACTTCTTACAGCACAGCACTGATTCTTTCCGTACGTCAGAAGAAAGCTCTCGATGAAACCTTCCATTCATAATAAGAATGCAACTCTTTTGAACTCAAACAGTTTTATTTAACGTTTTCTTGCAGACTTTCTGCAAAGTAGCTTCTTTTGAAAGAAGAGAGAAAGGAGGTTTTCAGGAATACCGAGTTAAAAATGAGCCGAACTAAACATGCCATACACATGCTGATAGGGATTTCACACACATTCATCCGTATGGGCACTCTTCAGCAGACTGGACCAGTGTTTCAACGCAAATTCCAGCCCCCAGAGAACTACATGGTTTAGATTTCACAGTATGACTTTTCCCCCTGTAACCTGGGGGAAAAAACCTTAACTGGGTAATTGGCTGAGTTCTTAGCTACTCTGTCCATCAGCGTTCTGAGACATGAGAAAAGACTGGACCACCTCCTCAGTGGATTGAGGGCTGGTGCTTACGTCCTCCAGAGCATCCGTGACGGAGAACTGCCGATCCCGCAACCGGTTCCAATTGGCCAAAATATTGTGGTATTCAAAAACTTTCTCATAATTGCCAATGGAATTGTACAGTTTAATGAGACCTCTGTAATCATATTCAAGTCCACTGTATCCTTCACCAAAAAGCTTCTTTCCTAAAGAAATCCAAAAGAAAACAAAATCAAACACAGAACCCACCTGTCTGCTGCATCTGATTTCTGATGTCATTTTAACCAACAGCATGAACATTTTTTTTGAGAAATTGTCCCTTTTTTTTTTATGGCAAATAACAAACACAAGCAACACACAAACTTCCTGGGTGAGAGCCTGAATTCCATCTACCTTCTCCATCAAGAGCACAGTACCTTGTCCTCAGGACTCTACAGTCAGATCATTAACAGCACTACAGCTTTACCTGCACAGACCCTACTGGTCACATAAAGCAGGGGGTCACTTTGTGTCCTAGGATCACTCTGAATTCAAACAGACAAGTTGCTTTTCAGTTTTCTACCTTAAAAATCATATTTTTCCTGTAACGTGCTGTACATAACTATACAAAGTAAGATAATCTGCCTCAAAACTGAGCTGCAGCATGGCCAAAAGATGCATCTAACTTGGAATTAAAAGTTCCCTGCAAATTATAATGGGCAGGAACAATATTTATTGAGAGCATAGCTAGGCTGACAGGCAGAATAATTTTTTAAGGAAATGGCAAGCTAACTGCATTCTGCACTTAAGCTCTAGCCACAAGTCCAAAAATGGGTACTACAGACTAACACCCAAGCTGTTAATTAGTCTGTCTCCAGATGCTTTCAGGAGTGAGTTCTGATGGAACACCGAAAATAATACAATTCCAGGATTCAGTCCCCAAGAGACTGTACAAGAAAGCATATTATTTACATCAAAAATAGATCAAAGAAACATCTCCCATTTCATCAAGGTCATAGAATCACAGAATGGTTCAGGCTGGAAGGGTCTTGAAAGATCATCTAGTTCCAGCCCCCTGCTGTGGGCAGGGCACCTCCCACCAGAGCAGGTTGCTCAAAGCCCTGTCCAGCTGGGCCCTGAACACCCCCAGGGAGGAGAGTTCTTGACTAGAAACGTTCATACCCTTTTTAATAGTGTTTCCTGTAGTGTTAGAACCGCTATAAAGGCGCCCGTAGGGAGAACCACCTACCAATTGCTATGGATCTCAAATAAAGCTTCTCGGCATTTTCATATTGATTCATATCATAGTTATAGAGGGAAGCTAGATGACCCACTGACAGGGCAACTTCATAATCTTCTTGACCTAGGAGCTGCTCCTTGATCTGAATTGCCTTGATGTGCATCTCTTCTGCTTCCTGTGAGGATCAAATTCACAAGGTCACTCAGACACCACCCACAATGTCATAAAAAGAGAAGAAAGGGAAAGTTCACAGAAACATAACAATGTAGTGGCTAAATAGCTTAGAGTATTTTATCAAAAAAGTAAGAAAGCCAAGAGAAGATCAAGTTCTTCAAATTCTTAGTTAAAATAGCATCACTTCTGTCGTCAGAATTGCTGCCACCCTGCCTCTGAAGGCACTGAGCATCTTAGTGGGTTATTTTTGCACATAGCTTTGAAGGGACGAACCATAAAGCACAGTTCTCCATCCATACAGCCACCAGCTGAACCACCAGCTGCAGACACTGGAAATGGTCGTTTGTCGCAGCAGATTTAGAGATGTCTTGCAGATTTTAAGTCAGGAAGTTCAAGAGCATCAATACAACCTTACCTTGAATTTTCTCATCGACTGATACAGTCTTCCAAGGTTGCCATAGTGTTTTGCTGTTTGCACATTGAACTCCCCAAAGGCTTTTTTAGCTAACTGGAGCGAGGACAGATGCAAGTCGTGAGCTTCCTGGAGTAACCTCTGCTCCGTTTCCTTATTGTGACAGTCTATTGCAATCTCCTCCAGGATGAGTGCTGAGTACAGGAGAGAAAACCCAACACCGAGCTGTCAGCTGCAGGCAGCAGAAAGTATCCACACAAGACATCTCAGGAGACACCTCATCAGGCTTTGTGTTCACTACAAACTGTCTTCCAACTGGTATGACCATCTATCAACCTCCCAAAATTCATTTTTATCATCTGTGATGTTATTTTCTGTCACCTCCCCCCCAAAAAAAACCCCTTCTGGCTAAGTTTTAAACTTTATTTTTTTAAATTTTTATTTTACAAGTGTGTTGACAAAGAACACTGATGACTACAAAAGAATATTCTGGAGTGACCTCCATTTGAAAGAAAAACCAACTCAAGTTACATTTCCTCTGTGAGGGAACAGGACAAACATCTGAACAACTGCTTTCCAACCATTCCAGTGACACAACCCCGGGTACTACCTTTAACTCTCTTTGAAGATGCCAAGAGAAGGTGGTCTTCTGGAAGAATGTGAGTTATAATGCCTATAGCACGTTCAGCATGGAATCTGGAGAGTTTAAATAAAAAATTCAAGATGCATATATTTAACTTAACAGCTGAGTAATAAAATATTAGAAACATTAATGCAGTGAAGGGATGCTTTTAAGTTCTAACTGGAGAGTCTGTACTGTTGAAGAACATTTTCTTCCATTTACAGTACTAACTTTACTGCCAGTATCTCCAATGATTGTACTCACAGTGCATTGTCAAACTTCCCAGAGCTGTACTGGTGAACGTATGAGGAGTAAGCCAAGTCTTCATGAGCTGTGGCTACATGGATGTTTTTACCTCCAAATACTGACTGCCGGATATCAAGAGCTGTCTGAAAGAGTTACAAGAAAACCATTTCATCAGTTAATACAGAAATAAAACCTTAATAAATCTCTCTCATAGTTAAAAAAGGGAGAAAAAAAAAGTCTATCCACTAGCTCTGAAATCCTGTAAATCTATACCTACATGTCTTAGTCAGCAAATATTTAAAAGCCACTTAAGAGTCACAGGAAAAAAACAAAGCAAAAATCCATACTTGAGGGTTTCTTTTTTAAAAAATACCAAGCATTGCAGTAATTAAGTAAATTGTTATGCCTGCAAATTAACTGTACATGAATTTCAGTGGAAGCATTTGAGAGATGAACATCAAGAGAAGCTGCAGGCAGACATTCAGCCCTGCCTCATACCTGGTAAATTGCAACTGACTGGCAAATGTTGTCTACATTGAGCAGGTAGAATCCGTAGTCTAGTAGCGTATCGGAGTATTTGGGGTGCTTGGCTCCAAAATGCTCCCTACAGAAACATACTTGTATTACAAACTGAGGCAAATCAGGCATAATTTTAAAATGATGGGGTTTTTCTTGGGATGCTACTTACCGAGCAAGGTATACTGCATGTTTAATCAGCTGTTCAGCCTTCTTAAATTCACGTTTTACAACACAAGCCTAAACAGGTGGAAATTGAGCATGTGAGAAAGTGCAAACACAGAACTCATCTCCTCCAGACACTGGCCCAATTGATATTTTGAAATTAAAAATAGTTAGCACCACAGTTACTAGAAGAGATTTCAGTTATTTAAGGAAAGGTTAATAGATAACATTAACTCATATTTTATTTTGCCATAGACACCTGAAGGGCTTGTGCTGTGCCTAGTCTACATCAGCAGGGGGGACAGATCACCTTTTTGTGGGATGCTGTCAGGTTAGCTTTGTCAGGATGTCCATCTGAACAACTGTAACTCACTTGCAGAAAGAAAAAAAACCAAACCACCAATACCAAACCAAATAAAAACCCCACAGGTCTAAGACTGAGGTGGGCCAACTAAACACAGCTAACAAGCTGTGAGGCTGATGAAATGGGACTGGTCACCCAAGTATTCTGGAGGTATTACCCATTCCTGGTAGCAAGTGAGTTACAAAAGAAATATGGAAGACTTTAAACTCACCTTTGAAGCTTGTCGTAAAACATCCACTACTACTTTGACAGGCAGGCCAACTGTGATCTCCTTCATAGCCTCTATGCACCATTTATAAGCCTGTTGAACAAAGTCACCCACACAGTGAAGCTGGAACTTTGCTACACTACCACATTAAGAAAATCATTACTTGCCTCTGAGAAATAAACTCATCATTTACATTACAAAACTTTAAAAAAAATCAGTTTAATTTCTTACGTGTAATGAAACTTTTTCAGCTAAGTCTTAAAAGACGGATTTAAAAATCCCTCTTAAAGTTAATACTGAATGGGTAAGTATTTTATACTAGCCTAAAACATGTAGTTTTGCAGTGACTTTTACAGAGAAAAGGATGGGCTATACCCTTTAAGTAATCCTCACAGTTCCTATTGTGCAGGACAAGTTCCTGATCAGTGTACTTAGGAGCTGAAGGAGAACCACAGTTTATACAGCAGTTACACTAAAGACACAGGTTTTTATCCAACTGGAACAGAGAATTACTACCTGTGTTCTGCTATTCATTTTTTTTCCTATTAAAATAAGCTTTTTATAATATTTCATTTACAGAAGACAAACACCTCCTACCAATCTGTCACAAATCATTTCCTAATGTTGGCCAAAGTACCATTAGGAGCTTGTGAACTCATTCAGAGCAATACATAAAAGGAAAAGCCATAACTCCAGTGTTCTCTGGTACTGTCACAGGTACCAAAAGCAATCAGGAACTCCAGCTAAAAAGGTAACATGAACAATGAGCAGCCATGGAGCATCCTGAAGGATCTCCTAGCCAGCTTTCTGAAGAAAAGCCAACTCAAAACCCCACTCACCTCGTCGTAGTGGCTCTTGGCAAAGAGCAGGGCACAGAGCTCCCCGTAGAGAGCTGCTTTGTTTGCCTGCTGACCATGCTTTGCAAGCTTGTCCATGTAGGACTGGGCGAGTTTGAACGTCTCTTCTCCCAGGTGGTATTTGCAGTTACCATTCCGAACGTGCAGCAGCCTGAGGAAGATACAAAGAGCCCTTCTAAACAGTGTCTGCACAAACCGTTCCCACAGGCAGCAGCGCCGTGGCTCTGCAGTTTGGTACCACAGGGAGGATGGAGCTGGGCCCTCACCCCAACCCAACACACTGTCTGAAGCCAGCCCTAGAGGAGAGCTGTTTACAGGACAGTGCACCATGCTTTGTCTCTAACACAGCAAGAATTCTTACTGTTGGAAATGTCAAACGATTTTACATCTGGATGCAGTTTTATGTGTCCAGTGCTTGAACTGCTTTGGTGGTGGCTTTATGTTGTATTCCTTTCAACTGATGGAACTCCATTTCCAAACCCCTTTGATATACAATATTAAATCCCTCCTGCCTCTTTTCCATAGTATCGTAAATGGAAACAGACACTGAGGAAGCACAGACATCACTGGTTTTCAGGCACCTCCACATTTCCTTCTCAAAGTGTAAGCAGCACGGTGCTTCACAAGCAGGTAGGTTTTGTTTTGGGGGTTTAGGAGGGTGTCTTCACAAGAGATAGAATCACAGCCATTGGACACGATATCCAGCACTGACTGACCACCACCAGAAGAGACCACTTGGCTGACCCAGTTCACAGCAACCAAAGAAAACCTCTCCCCCAGCCTTGCCCCAGCACCCAACCCGCTGCCTTTCCATCTGAAGGATTACCAGGAGCTTCATCAAACAGCCAAATGCAGACAATAAAACACAGCACCACTGAAATACACTCCTGCTTCTCTAGAGAAGTAACAACTCCAGCTTCTGGCATCTATTTAAACCTAAAGAATTTTTTTTGTTAGTGCAGGCTGATGTTTATTTACTTTAAAGAGCTACATTAGAACTCTGTTACCATATTCCAAGCCTGAAAGGCAGAATCCATCCCCACCCATGGCAGGCTAGGAAGAGGCAGCTGTTCCTCTTCTGTGGCAAGTGTCTGCCATTTCACACATGAAATTCTGGCAATTTAACCTCCACTGTCCTGCCTGGAAATCTGTTATTAGACAATGAGTAAGAAGGACTGAAAAACATCAGGCAAGCTTTTGCAAATCAGGAGGACAACAGTGAAGAGCAGCAGAAGGTCACACCGGATGGCACACAGGCTACAGCTCTGAAAGCAGGAGCTGATGTACCAGTACAGCATTTTACACCTTTTAGAAGCCATTGTGACAGATATGCCAATGAACTGTTAAGTGGGAGGAAAGACCAGTGCAGTTTTTGACCAAGTGTTTCTCTCCCCTAAACCTGTTTCCTGTTACCATTTACTCTGAGAATTAAGTTATTGTTGCCGTGCCTCCTGCAACAGCAAAATAACAGATGGAATTCAGCCTGCCTCTGTGGCAGCCTCTTCCCCTGCTTCCCCACTAGAATGTATCATGAAACTCAGACACCAACAAGAACAGAAATCAAGTTCCCATCTTCACAAGAGAGAGGCAGGCAAGCACACAGCAGATATCCATTAGCCACCAGAGATCAAAAGAAAAGACCTTCAAAAACCCCTGAAAGAAGCTACATAAACAAACAGCAGCTTTCAATGAGAAACACAGTAACATGGCTCAAGAACAGAAAGAAACAAGCAACAGACACTTTTTCCTTAAAGAAGATCTGAGGACTAAACACCATGAGTCCTTGCTCACAGGCAGCAGAAAACACTATCTGACACTCAGGCAACAAGAGCCAGGCATTTCAAAGAAACTAGACAGAAAAACTACACATTTACAGCTTCCTGACAGAGGGAAACTATTTTGCCTACACCATCCAATTGGGAGTTGCTATGGAACATCACAAATCCAAAGCCCAAATCCCATGTAATGGTATAAGGCAGCAGGGACAGTGCTGCAGCCCAGATAAGCACCCGGGACAGATAATATCCAGTATCTGGATGCTTCAGTGATAGTGTCAGAAAACAAAGAAACTGGCCAAAAAAGCCAAGCTAAACCTAACCCAATCCTCTAGGATAAGCAGAGTTTATCATACCCATTTGGAGTAATAAAAAAATCCTTTATTAATCCAAAGGAAATTTCAGAAGATAAAGCCAAGAGAAAGAAAAAACTGCCTTAGGACATTTATGCAAAGAGCTATGAACCTTCTTTGATGTCTGCAGTAACAGCTTTTGGGGAATAGCTTGCTGCCCCACAAGTAAAATCACTCTCTAGGAGCATAAAACATAACAATGTTACACAGCAACTTAGGAAGTCTAAAACCAGCAGAAAAAACCCTTCAAGAGCCAGCAAAATAGGAAACAATGAAGTGGAAGAACCACATATTTATATTATCTATTTATGCCTTATTGTTGAATGTCTAACACTAAGAGAACGCAAACCAAAAGGAGCTCAGCACATGCAGGAAAGCAGTTTATGACCCTGTGAAAAATTGAATCTTCACATTTTCTCAAGTTTCTTAATATAATTTACTACTACTAGTCTAAAGAAAAACCAAATTATGTCTAAAGAACATAAAACTTTCCATGCTTTTAAACTGCATTCTACTAATAGTGCAACATATTTTCTAGCTTGTAGAATAAGAGCAGCCGCATTCTAAGAGTGTTGCATTTTCAAAAGCTGGACTTAAAATTTTGTTCTCTTAAAATTCCAGCTATTTCCAGTGCTAACGCAGTGGTGAGAACAAGATATTCCACAGCAGGGATTAGACAGTAACAAAAAATTCATCTTACTACCTCCTGACTTCGAAGCAGAGTATAATTACTGCTCTCTCCCTAAAGTGTGTTTAGATTTTACATACTTTGCACTTCTGAAAGTGTTTCAAATTCTTCCTGTTTGGTGCATTTCCAGATAACAAAGCTGAGTCTCCTCCTCACTCCCAGTGTTGCCAGCAGGACCTACTCTCTGTGCAGCCATCAGCTCTCATCAGGGGAACAATGGCTGTCTCTACCCAAACAGAATTAACATCCCCAGCTCAGAAGAGCTCATCCTAACACAGGGTGGGTTTTTTCCTAGCACAAAACAAACATCTTTCCACAACTCTGTGGGCTGTACACTATTGTCCAACCCAGTTACCTTTCTTCTCTCCTTTCACTCTTTTTTTTTCTTTTTTTTTTTTTTTTCTATTTGGAGAAGGGAAGGGAATTTATTTTTAAGACAACTCCAGCTTGCCAAACAGCCCGACAGAACCAGGCGTCTTTTTTTAGCCTAATTAGAAGGCAAAGGACCAAGCCTTGCAGCAGTGGTGCTATATCCATCACTGCCCGCTTCTAGGAAGCAGCACACACGTGCCAGGGCCTCTCCTGGCACCATCTCACCCCTGTAACCAGAGCCTGTGGCAGTGGGCAGGGCAGGACAGGCCAGGCAGCACCGGCCCTTCAGCTGGCACACAAACAAGCAGCTACTGGCCAGGCCTACTGACTCTTCCTATTTGTCCAACCACAAACAAGGTGCAAGGATTTTTCTTTTTCCAAACCAAGTTTTGCCTTCTATTCAGATAAATACAATACATACACTGTTATTCATCACAGCATCTAAAAGTAAAAGATGAAATCCTATTTTAAGCTCCTCACTAGCACACAGGTATTCAAGCACACAGCATTAGCACAGTCGTGCTGCTACCAACAAACCCACCACGGGTCCCTGCGGCCTGTGCCAGCACAGCACACAGCCAGACACAGAGCCATAAGAGCAGAGCAACAAACCTCCATGTGATAACTGCTGCAGCATCTGTGAATGGAAATTGAATCTTATGGGACCCCATGACAGGCCTTGAGAAACAAGGCAGGTGAAAAACCCAAATGCCTTCTAAAAGTAAAAATTCTTTTTCAAGTGCTTAAGCTGTGGCTGAAGGCATCCACGGCTGAAGGTATCCACAAGAACTAGACATTTAGACATTTACCTGATCACATTGTTACATAGCTCAGCATGGAGCAAGACAACTCACTGGAACTGCAATCAGGAGAGGTACCTTCTGCTTTCACTTCTGCTCCACTATATTTGTATGATTTATGTTTGGACTTGGCAGATCTTTCTTGTGATAAATATACTTTCACCAAAGACCAAGATGTGGCATTCCTTCACCAGCAAAGCCCCTTGAAACCCCAAGGAGCTGGCCCACTCCTACTGCCCAGCACCCACTGCCTGCGATGCTTTATGCAGAAAGGTAAACTAGTGGGTTTTTTTTTCCATTGAACTGTGCTGCCAGTTTACAAGTTGAAAACCCAGGGATTAGTGTAAAACAAGCAGCTTGTGACCTTCAGCTCTGTCCAGTCAAGTATTTTGGTGCAGCAGAACACGAAAAGGAGCATCTGAAGCTCAATGGCTCCAAGGCAGCTGGTAACACAGTAATGTGTTTCCCACTAAGACACGCAGGAATTAAAGGTGAGCTCACCTTACACAGCATTCTACAGCACGAAACCAGTGAAGGATTTCATCATGAAGGGTGCACAACTGAAGGCAGGAAAGAAATACCTTCTCAGCGTCACTGTACCAACCTGCATCCGACAGGAATCCCCCTGGGGAAAAAACAAAACAAAATATCAAGAACAAACAAATTAGAACATCAAAACACATTTAAGAGAAAACAGGCGTGCTCAAGTCTTGTAAGAAGACCTATTTCATAGAGCTGCATAGGGGAATCCTGTCAAGATCAAACCCTCCAGTCCTGAGTCGAAAAAGACAAAAAATAAAGAGTAGAATTCTCCCTCAGTTGAGGATGACTTTTTGATGTTATGTAGTTCTACATGTAGTTTTCTGTTAACAAATTCCTACCAATACTAAAATTATGCCATGACCTCTGGAAAATGATTTTTCTTCTAAAACATTTGAAACAGCAGAGATAAGCCTATATATTCTTAGATATTAAAGTAAATATATTTTGCTTAAGACATCACCAAGTAGCTTTCTAAGAACTAGATTCCAAACCCCCACATTCCTTAAAAAGAAATCACAGACTTTAAGCTGGCATTAAAGAAAGTATCATACTTTAAACAACTCATCACCAGTTACCTAGAACAAAACCAATCTGGATTGCTTTTTCTTTCACAGCAGAATCTGACTCTGCTATGTAGGAGCACCGTCTGCTGAAAGAATAGGCCAGTACAGAAGCAACTTTTACTCCATGGTCCATCAAAGCCTGAAAACAGTGATGAAGCAGATGCCTGAAACAAAGAAAACAGAATTCCATTACACATGAAGTTTTAAAACCACTGCAGTCAGTTGACTCTTGAGTGCCATGAATTCAAACGAGGAGTGATTCAGAGAAAGAACTGCAACCCTCTCCCAAAGCAAACCCACATAACTTGAGCATAACTGCCAACCCTAGGGTGACTGGATTACAGCTGTTGGATTATCTAACAAATAAAGCCAGTGTACACAAAGTTCTTTACAATGACACCCTCCAGTGTGAGCAAAACACAAGCTACCCACACAGTATTAATGCTGGAAAACAACATTTTCAGCTAGAACTTAGAGGGAAGGGCAGCCTCAAATCCACCCTCACCCCACAACTCCAACAGAAATTGCAGATAGAAGAGCAGTGACAAACCCACTACCACCACACATGTGCAAACAACGCAAGGGAGGCACGTCTGCAGACTCAAAGCTCATTCTGGTTACAAAGAACCTGATCCAAAAAAGTTCAGCTTTGGGCATAACACCAGAAATTTGAATATTTAATGACAGAAAAACTCTTTCAACTGGGGCAATCCTATCGTCTTGCTAAGCCTTCACTCACAGTTTGCTACAACAGCAGGACAGGGGTACAGGAGTGCTGCTGCTGTGGGACTGGCTGGTGTGGAGCAGCTGGAGTGTTTTGCATCACTTATTTTTGCCTTTCCCCCCCCCCCTCCATTTTCTTTTATCCTCTTCTTAAAAAATATTGTCTTTATGTCAGCCCCCGAGTTTTCAGCCTTTTACTCTTCCAGTTCTCTCCCTCTTAGCACAGGGTGGGGGTGCAAGCAGCTGGATGGCTCTTGGCTGCCACCACAACTGGCAGTAACAGAAAAAGCACTTTGGGGACCCAGGACCACAGCTGACTTGCTACACGTACACAGAGGTTCTGACCAGTTTATTTTAAAGACAGAAAGACATACTGTAACTTAAAAGCTCATCTCTAAATCTAACAAGACATTCTTAGTTATCAGATGGGCTAGTAAGACCAAGAAATATCAGACACTTTCCAAATTCAAAACCCAGATCAAGTGGTGAGTTGAAATAGAATCATAGAATCCTTTAGTTTGGAAGGGACCTCCAAGATCATCACGTCCAACCATTGAGCCATTAGGGCTCTAAAGTCCTCTGCTAAAACAGATCAGAACCAAATTATTGATGAATTAAGGTACTCACCTTTTATCTAAAGCACGTAGCACCTTCGCAAAAACTTCTAGTTCACAAAATTCACTACCCAGCTGGCATAAGCGGCCCTGTTGGTAAAGCTGAAAGAAAAACATAAATAGATTTTAAAATCTGAGTTATTCTAGGAAGTTTAGCTTCATAGTAAATATGACTTAGGACGGAATCTAGACTTCTAAGTATTATAATACAGTCATAGTTCCACCATCTCCATACAACATTTGGTTGAACAACTCTGCTGCTTAAAGACTGAGCACACAAGCTATGAGAGCTCCACAGGAGGTTTCAAGCTGCTTTTATCTAGAAATGTATTTTCAAGTGTCTATGCCCACCTGCATCACCTAAGTTAAAAAGCCAAGAGAAACTAAAGTCTCCTGTAATTAGCAAAAAATACAATTAGTAGATTCTTTGATACCTAATGGTTTGAAACATTTTTTATAAGACACTATTTAGCAGACAGCAGTGCAAATAGATTTGATATTCTATATAAAACCCACAGTCCCAAGTTCTGCAAGGGGTGACTCAGAAATACCCAGAGCTAAAGACAGGCAAGAGCTCTGGCCCCATTCAGACCTGAACCTACACCAGCAACTCCTGCCCAAATAAACGAGGAAACTCCAGCAAACCTGCCCATGCATTTGCTAAAAGCAGTGGCTAGGTTTAGGGCCAAACTGATTTGTGTCCTCAAATACATCAGTTGACTTGTTCATAAACAACCAACCACAGGGACAGCTCTTTATGCCACACGCGGTTAAGCTGCAGAACTATTGCCACATTATGCTATAAATATAACAAATTTACATAGACACTACAGTGACTATACAAATATATGGCAGAAAAACCCACTGTGGGCTTTAATTCCTAACACCCTGAAGCCTCTGAACTCCAAATGGCCAGAAGCAGAACAGGGCAGCACTACCGTGTACGCACCAGTCACCAGGACTGTCACCAACCCCTGCTGGCGCCACCGCACCCGACCACACGGGGCTCCTCCTGCACAACCCCTTGGGATTTTAGGTGTTCTAGAAAAAACACCTCCTCCCTTTGTTTACTAAACAGTCTTTATGTGAGGCAGTAACTCCACGGGGAAAAGGGAGAAGCCAGTAGCTTTGTCTCATAAGCACTCCTCTCCAGAAGCTGCACTGCTCAGCACAGGCCACTCAGGATCCATTTCTATTCCTCTGTGGTACTCGTGCCACGCGATGCAGGGACTGGAAAACCAGCAGTGGACACAAACCAGATGGTACACTGGAGTCTCCTGCCCTGGGAGCACACAGGTACAGCACACCTACTCAGAGAACTCCAATTTCCAGTCCAGATGTTAAGATGTCCAAAGGCACACTGTCCATGTTCATACCCACAGCACGGCCTGCCCCTGCTGTCTGAGCAGGCTTTACAGAGGAGGACCCTGACACCAGGAGTGCAGCCACCCTCCCTACCTCAGCAGAAATAAGGCCAAGACAAAAATTATTTAGAGATGCTCAATTACAAACACAGATTTAACAAAAATGTTAATATTCCTCTCAGTTTGAGTAATTTCTTACAAAACTCTTCTTCAGAGGCACCTTTTGCCTGGTTCATCTTTTTTGTCCACCAACTCTGGAAGCAGATGAACTAGTAGTATTCAAAACAAAGCATGTGAGAACATCTCCTCCAGCCAGAAATTTAGTTTTGGCCAACTCTTCTTTATAAAACCACATGACAATGATTCTACAGCACAGCGAGTTTATTATTTTAACAATGGAACCTACAAAAACACCCTTCAAAAATACTTTGACCTAATAATGTCAATTGCCAGAAATTAATGTTTTCCTTTTAGTCATCTATTTTGCTGGGGAAATAAAAAAAATCTCTCTTTTAAAAACCAGTGTGAGTTTGCATGCAAAGCTGCTCCCCAGATAAAACAGGGCCACGTCCCTGTACTTCAAAGGAATCAGCTTCTGAAGCTGTATTCTCTCTGGCAACGAACACACATCTACTCTGGTGTATTTAAAAACCACAGTCATGGTTAAGTGTTCTCATTTTCTCCCACACAGCTGTCTAATGGTAAACGGTTCTATAAAACCTGAAACCTATTTTCTGTAATTAAAACAATAAATAAATCTTGCATTGTATTCCATGTCCAAAACTGAAGATGGACATTGTATCAATTATTGACAAGATAATTTCTGGAAGAAACTAAGACACATACCCAAGCTATTTTACCAGGATTTAGGACAATCAAAAGTACCACCACATGTTCAATAATTAGACTTTCAATCAAGTACATGATCATCTCCCCTTGATCACCTTACAGCACTAACTAAAAATTCCGGAGATTGCTCTGATACTAGCTCACCAAATACTAACTGCAGTAAGACTTTTAAAAATTAATAGATCTATGAGGTTACATAAACACATTCTGCAACGTGCCTGCTGTTCCATGTCATTCTGAAATTGCTAACAAATAAATGCCCTGCTTGGGTGGGAGGGAGGGGGAAGGTCCCAAACGACACCCTCCAATTTTGATACATCGATTATTTCAGGCACATGTACAATTTGGCTCAGGGCCCAAGGGTCCAAGCCTGCTCACTGCACATCTCTCATCCCAATTCAAAGGTTAATACTTGCACCATTCCAGCAGGAAAAAAAAAAAAATCAACCTATTTTTCACTGGTATGACCAGAAATACAGTATTCTTGGGACTTTTACCACACTATTCACCCCTTCCCTTGACATACTGGCAAACGTTTTTAAGGAACTAACTTGGCTTCAAGTCTCTTGAAACCATTGTAGCTGTTGCAGCAATATTTTCAAATAAAGTTTGACATGGAAATAGTAAGTACACGTCAAACTGTGAAGCAATTCCCAGAGATTCAGTAATGCTAATTTGTCCATTGAGAAGCAGTTGCAAGCACTGAAGAAATGGTTTTCTTGTTAAAGCTCCAGAGAGACAGAATTCCTGACCACACGCCTTGCTACATAACATGAAAAACAAAACAAAATAGTGATTCAAGAAAAACATGCCCTGACAAGAATGACAGAGGTTTGGACTTCTGAAAAACTATTATTTTCTTAAGAAACAAAATGTCTTTCAGACACAAAGTCAACAGATTTAGAGCTTAAGAGATTTCTCTTTAACTATGGACAAAAGAATAAAAGCCAACCTCTGAGCTCGCACTGACACATCATTTCTGGCACTGCAGACAGGAACCAAGACCTCAGTTTAATACATGGGTACATTATCACAGACACCATCAGACTGTTCTGCATACCTGTGAGAAACCACCACCATCCTCCTTCAGGATCCATGGCTTTACATTTAACTCATAACACATCCACCCAAACACTCAACAGCTGCAAATATTGGTATCCCCAATTAAGTGTATTAATACAATATTAATCTGTAACTCACCTATTACAATATCAGCATTCTGGGCTGTTTCACTGTGTACAAGCAACTAGAGAAAAGACTTTCTAAACCTAATGAAAAAATAATATTTTTTTTCTTTTTAGGCAGCTGGAGATTAATTCTAACGAGTTGTAAAAGGACCCTCTAGAATAGGAAGTGTAGCATACGCAATCTGAAAAATATGCTCCTATTGCTCCAGTTTGGAAGAGGACTGAGGAATTAATATCGATATTTGAGTAAGATTTAAGATACAGAGGATTCCAAGGAGCTCCCCAGCAGGGGAACTAAAACATCCCCAGCATGTTTAGTAATGTCTAATAATGGAATGTGGAATATCACACCAGATTTGGGAAGGTCTGTATATTCAGTTGCCAAACATCAGTATTTAGGAGGAAAGTTTGGCTGCAAACACCATCTTCCTTTCTTCCTGAACAAGGAAGGGAAAAGTTTCCTGAGAGTCAACAGTGCACCGAATCAATCTGTTGACAAATGACTCATTTCACACAGGGCCAGGCAGAACAGCCTCAGAAAATAATCAGATAGAAATTCAGGTACATTCGATTCTCTTCCATTGATTTCAAACCCACCTATGCATCCTCTGGACAAGCACTAGTTCTACTGGCTGTTGTTTAGAGCATAAAAAAAAAAGCAAACTTTACAGCAGTTCTTTGAAAACATGCTGCCAATTACTAGGCTGATCTTTATGAACCTCAAATACATAATCCAGAAAAAAAACCAACCTTATTTAATCAGCCTAACTTCAGAGACAGCTTTTGGAGCCTATCTGCTTTCACACACAGCACCCTTCTCCACATCTTCCCACACACTGCTTTCTGTACCACAGCAGCAAAGTTTTTGTGTTTCACATCTATAGAATCCAGTACAAGAGGTGTGAAGTCTGAGCCTTACACACGGGTACGATTCTCCACAGCAGTACGTGGGGAAACCCAGTTTGCTCTGCAGTTACATCAGCACAGAGGAAACAAGATGGAAATCTGAATTATT